GATTAATTAATGATTAATTAGCAAAAACCGCTCGTTAATAGGCAAAAAAACGGCGATTTTAGGGCTTTATTAGCCATTATTAGCCATTATTAGCCCATTATTAGCCCATTATCAGCCCCCTCTCCTTCTCCTCCAGCTTCTGCACCACCTGCAGCTGCGCCTCCACCTGCCCAAATCATTAATTAATCATTAATTAGTGATTAATTAATTATTAATTAATCATTAATTACCTGTGCCTTGAGTTCAATTAACCCCAATTATTGCCTATTAATCACTAATTAATGACCACTAATCACTATTAATCGTCAATTAACACCTATTAATCACCATTAATCACCAATTAATCACTGATTAGTGACCCAGGGAGGACTCACCTGTGCCTTGAGAACCATTAACAACCAAAAATCGCTAATAAATCACTATTAATCACTAATTAATGGCTATTAATCGCCATTTAATGGCTATTAATCACTATTAATCACCATTAGTCACCAATTAATCACTAATTAGTGACTCTGTGAGTCCTCACCTGTGCCTTGAGGTCCATAAAAAACCACTAATCACTAATAAATCATTAAAAATCACTAATAAATCACTATTAATCACCATTTAACGGCTATTAATCACTATTAATCGCCAATTAACGAACTCTAATGACTAATTAATCACTCCACGATCGCTCACCTGTGCCTTTAGGGCCAGCACCTGCTCGGCCAGCTCGTCCTTCTCCTCGCGCAGCCATTAATGACCATTAATCACTAATAAATCACTATTAATCATTATTTAATGTCTATTAATCCCCATTAATCACTATTAATTACCAATTAATGACTATTTTTCACCAATTAATCACTAATTAATGCCCCAGGGCGGCCTCACCTGCTCCTTGAGGGCAATTTACGACCATTAATCACTGATAAATCACTGTTAATCACTAATAAATCACTATTAATCACCATTAAATGGCTATTAATCACTATTAATGACCAATTAATAACTATTAATCAATAATTAATGACTCCACGACCCCTCACCTGCACCATGAGTGCCAGCACCTGCTCGGCCAGCTCGTCCTTCTCCTCGCGCAGCCATTAGTGACCATTAATCACTAATCAATCACTATTAATGACCATTGGTTGCTAATGAATGGTGATTAAGCACCAATTAATGACTATTAATCACTAATTAACGATAACCAATCACCACTTTCTGACTCTGGGAGGCCTCTCCTGCCCCTTGAGGGCCATTAACAACCATTAATCACTAATAAATCACTATTAATCCCTAATTAATAGCTATTAATGGCTATTTAACAGCTATTAGTCACTATTAATCACCAACTAA